ATTCAGTCCACAGGGCTCCTGGAGCTGCTGAGACTTAGGCAGTAGGGCAAGTAGGACCATATTAATCCCTGCAGCTCCCTGAGCTAGCACAACAGTCTCTGAGCCCACTGACAAATTCCCGGGTACTGAGCTGTATTGCAAACTCATTTTGTCAGCAGCAAGGTGTGGGGTGGCAGTGTTAAGTCCTGCAGCTTCCTGACCCAACACAGCAGCTCCAGGCACTTCTGGGGCTTAGCACAACCAACACTCACTCACCCTGCTGACAGAGGTGGGTTCAGGTCTGGATCCAATCTGCAAGGAGCCCTGAAATCCGGATCCAGCTCAGGAAGCCAAACGGCCTTGAAAACCTAAGACTAGATCATCATATAGCCCAGTAAGTGGCAACCATTTCAAGCTGTGGGCTGAAACAATCTGGATCCTGTCCCATGCGGGCCAGGTGGCTTTTGTGGCATGTCAGTAGCAGGGGGCTTCCCCTGCACCTGCACCAGGGCCAGACTGCAAGAAACTGCACCTGTGCCACTACTGCTTCTCCCAGCTCCTCACTCCCCAGCTGGGGCACAGATGCAGCTTCCAGCCAGTGGAGAGCTCTGCCAAGGCCAGACAGCAGGAAACTGCACCCATGTTGTTGCATCTTCTGCACTGCAGCCAAGAGGCAGGGGTGCAGGGAAAGGGAGGAGGAAGAAGCAGAAGCAGCATGGATGCAGCTTCCGAGCCCTGGTGCAGCTCCCTACTAGCCAGACGCTGTGCCCACGCCACAGCCAGAAGGAGGCTACAGAGCCAGGGAGAAGAAACAGCGACAACAAGGGCTCAGCTGGAAGTTGCCCAGCTCTGTGCAAGTTAGCCCTGGTGCAGGCATAGGCATAAGCAAAGACCTCAGGCTCTGCAGGCAAAATCCAGTGGCTCTGCAGGCTAGATCTAACTCGTGGGCTGTATGGCTGCTTGAACACACTAAAAAAAAAATAAAAAAAAAAAAAAATGCTTTACTGGAAGCAGCAGTGCATTACTTAGACCTGGCTCTGTAATGTCTGTATAGATCAGGCACTTCAGTGGTGCTTTTTGGTGTTTTTAATAGCCGATTCAATCAACTATTAGATAAAAGCATCAAAAAAGCCCCACTAAAGAGCCCAATCTATACAGACATCGTGCAGGCTGAGTCCAATAAGACACTGCCTCTTCTAGGCATGTGCTGGGCTTGACATGGGGCACACGGAGTTTAAAGTAAAGCACCACGGGGGGGGGTGTAAGTCTGCAAGCAGCCTATGTTGCCAGCTCTTGATTTGACCTAGGGCTTTCCAACTTATAAGCAGCTGGGAGCCACAGTGAGGCAAAGGTTCCATGCTGCAGACTATTCCCCCTTCCCCCACCCCACCACTGTGCCGCACAGATAGGCAGCCCTTCCTGCACTGCACCACGGGCTGAGCTACCCAGCACCAAGGACAAGAGCAGGAAGCAAAAGACAGTAAAAGGCAGGAAAATCTGGAGATCTTGGCTGCTGCAGAAGGAGCCAGAATGATGGGGGAGCAACTGCTAGATGGAAGCCTAGGTGTTCTCAGATTAAACTCTGTGAATGAAATATGGCCTGCAGACCACCAGTTGGACCATCCCGATTTAGCCCTTTTTCACCTTAAACTCTATGAATGAAAGGCCTCTTACCTGTGAAAAACTACCTCTAGCAACACAGAGTCCCATCATATTGGGCCAAGGCATGAAACCAGAGATAAAAGTTCTCCTCCCTAATCTTTATCAGTACGTTATGTAACACCTACAAGTCCCTCTGAGGTCAGCCATTCAAGTACAGGTGCCTCCCTGCACAGTAAAACTGGCTAAGCTGGCTGTTCCCTCTTACAGGCCGACTACAGTATTCTGCTGCTTAACTTTTCTTTTGATAGAAAAGTTAGAGTGCACCTTGCAGGTTTGTACAAAAAACTAGAACTCTTGGTTCCAAAATGATGCCTTTTATTAGACCAACTGGAAAATGACTTGCAGGCTCACTCACTCATGCTCACTCTCTCCTCCCCAGGTTCTCATTTAAACTTTTTTAAGATAAAGAGAGTCCTTTATTTGTAAGCCAAAACCAAAGGTCACAGGGATCCTCCAAAAACAACTAGAAACATTGCTTTGCAGCAATATTTTGCAGCACATGTAAAGCTGGGCAATTTTTTAAAATCAAAGTTTAGATTGTAGAGGGGGCAGAAACAACTGGGGAAAGCTTTTTGAAATTGCCAAAACAAAATGCTTTGACTATTTCAAGGCAAAAAAAAAATCACTGTTTCATTTGGAAATAGTGTTTTCATTTCAAAGCTGGCCTGGATTGAAAAAAAAATTGAGTTAAAAAACCAAAAGATAATGTGTTTTACTTCGAATCAACCTAAACTGGAATTATTCACATAGCACTAACTGCACTGTGGGATATCAGCATCCCTCTCAGGGAACTGAGAAAGTCTGTTGTCAAGTTCCCGTGCTTCCCTCCATACCTAATCTCGCACACAACCCCAAAAGCAAGCAGATTGCAATCCTAGGACAAAAGAAACAGACAATTAAAAAAAAAGCCAAATAAAATCTCAAACACATACCAGAGGTGGAGCACAAGGCAGTACAGACACTTAGATTCTAGCCTAAATGAATTCTGATCATAAAACTTTCTGTACTCCTCTGTCAGCTTGTACCCATTTGAGATCTCTTGTCTTGTACCTATATTGAAAGCTATTTGGGGCAGGTGCCGTTTTTGTATAGCACTTGGATATAATGAAGTCCTGGTCTATGACTCTAAAGCTCTATGATGCAAAAGATAATAAATCTTTTCTACTAGCTGGCAAAAGCACCTAAAAAGATCTCATGCACTTTATGTAATACAGTAATCTCTCTTTTTATCATATTTCTCCCACAGCCTGCATATGCAAACGCACCCTCTATTGCAGCCTTTTGTGAAACTGAAGTCCAAAGACTAATTTTATTGTTGAGAAGCAATACTCGACTACCTGCAATTTTTAAAAGAAATAAGAGAAGTGGACACTAAGCTACTGTTAGATTTCACATACAACTAATACTATTATTTCCCCTTTGATAGGTTTTAATGTTTGGTTTTAAAACTTTAAGTGTCTAAGAACTACCTGTTCACAGCCCACCAAAATATGTCTGTCCACTATCTGTCTCTAACCCACCAAACTGTGACTCCCAAGCTATCACATGAAAGGGTCAGAGAGATGTTAGGGTAAAAAATAGATTTGCGCATTTAATTTCACTGGTATCTGCTGCATATGAAGGGCTTTTCAGAGAGAAGGATTTTAAATAGTTCATTAAAATCTATGGACTTAAGTAGGCATGAGTAATACAGAGGCAGAATCAGCTAGTGATTATGCTAAAGAAAATAATGCTCTTGATACAGGGACCATTACAAAAAAACACCAGAACTGATTTCCAAGTTTGTTACATCTTCACACAGCAAAAAAAGCAGACTTGTCATATGTCTGTATGTAAATCAAGAGAAATGCTTGAACTTTCTTGGCCTATTTTAACTAGTAGCCATACTAGCTTTTTCTGTGAAGCAGAAACCCAATTGATATGCTAAAAGATTGTCCCTCTAGTCTAGCATATACCTAGATATGCAATCAAGTACAATCAGTCTCAGCACAGAGCACACACATAACAATCCAATAAACTTAACTGCCTCTTCCTCTTAAAAGAACAGCTCTTTCAGGACAGGGCTGGGGGTTCTTATAAAACCATACCCAGGAAAAATCTATCTACATGCAGCATAGCTAGAACATCCTAAGTCTGGAGGGCATTATTCTTCACTACAGTCAATATATAGTTCAAAGCAAGCATTACAATCTGCCATATAACTACCAAACATGCATTTCCATTTATGTAGACCTTTTTTCCATTTACAATAGTCTAAAGTGTAACAATTGAAGGGGCTTTTCTACCTTTTAGTTTGCCTCTAAACTGATCTGCAACTGACACTACACGATTATGGAAGAGCATGAGCTTTTTTTACTATGGCACTTAAGCAAATGGTGTTCTAGCTTCAGTCATATGGTTGGGATCTGCAAACAGGTATAAAAGTAAGCGGTAGGATTTGAAAGGAAAAAAAGCCCTAATACTTTGTTGCAAAGGGTATGTGGGCCACTGGCAAGAGCCTACCAAACTGATCATATGGAAACGTTAAAAATAAACAAGTGGCATTTGGTAGCAGTCCCCTTGATATCTACTAGGTTGCATGCCCTAAAACAAACCATTTATGGCTTTTCCAAAGTGTGCCCCATTTTACTACTACTACTAATCCTGGCATGAAGGGAAAAGAATTCAAACTATCTTCAATGCTCACAGAAGCACCAAAACGTGCAGAACGTCAAAACCTAACAATTCTGGTTTCTCTTCAGACTGCGTAAGTGGCACGCAACCAGAAGCATGCAAAAAAAAGTCCCGTGTGTGCACACTCTCATGTTTTGGGACTTGCATGCGAAAGGGTCTCCTGTGACAATTAAAGGGGGGCCTGGAAGAGCCAGGAAGCCCTGTCCCGCAGCAGCGGGCACCCATCACTGCACGCTGGCACCCTGAAATGAGGATGACAATGCCTACCCCTGGGGCGTGCGGAAGTGATTCCAATTCCTGACATTTTATAACTACTGGGAAGGGGGAAAGAAATCAACCAAGTAACTAAGGGTGCCCCCCCCCCAGCATTTTGCTCCTCTCCCTGCTTTTTTTTTTAAAGAAATTTTCCAAGACAAATCAAGTCCAAATTCGTGAGTCAATCTAGCACCACAAATGGCCCTACAACCGGCAAACATCCTCCACCCGCACCAGGGGCTTCCATGTATTTCCAACGTCTTTTGCTGCTCTCCCCGCGGCTGAGCGCACCGCCAGAACGAGCACGTGCCCGGCAGCCGGCGGGATGCGCAGCCGGGGCTGGGCTGGGGGCCGCTGGGACTAAAAGCGAGGCCGCCCCGGCTCCGCTCTCCTGGGGGCAGATGCTAAGGGAGCCCGGCGCGCGCACCTACCCCGGCTCACGCCTCCCAGCCGCC